AGTTGGTTATAAATTTCTTTTATTTATTTATTTATTTATTTATCCTTAAAGCATGTGGAGCAATTGGCCTTATAGTTGGAAATTGGAATATCTAGGCTAAATGTGGTCGTGGATTGCATAAATATCAGACAACCTCTGGCTAGTGTTTCTCCTAAAGTCATTCCCTTGAAAAGCTCTGTTGGGTCACATTATCTTTAATCCCAAGTAAGAAAACAAATTTTAAAGCAAAAATGTTATATAACACTTGGTACAATAAATGGTTGGTAATTTTATAGCTCATATTGTATGGTATAACTAACACTTGAGTTATGAAAGGAACTTGATTTGTTGTTAACATAAGTTATAATCATGAATGCCTGATGAGATTTACAAGTATTAGTATTAATCAAATAAGATGACTAATATGTTGTTTATTATTTCAACATTTCTATACTTGGGAGAAGACATCAATCTTTTAACCGTATAAAAAAGAAAAGGGGATATCGAGTCTCCTTGACATAGAGCCATCGCAGAATAGAGACTTCATTTGAAGAGGATCCATCGATGAGAACCGAAATTTTTAAGGAAGATAAACATTCATAAATCATGTTTCTCTATTTCTTGCCAAACCTCGTATAGCCCATGATATCATCCGGTTAATCTAAGAGACTGAGTCAAAGGCTTTATAGAAATCAATCTTGAATATCAAACTTGCAACTTTTTCTTTTTTCAAATCCCAGGCCAACTCAGCAATGAGGATATTAGAAATCAGGATGTAAAAGTAGAATATATTAGGGTTCTCAAATAAAATAAAGTAATAATTGTTAAAAGCAATTTGGGGTCTTTTAACATTTTAAAATAGTTTGATAAAAATTATGGGAAAATAACACATGTTAAAAAAATAATAAGAAAATAGCACGTTCGAACACAACTGCTATTAGAAATAATAAATTATTTTTAGCATGTTCGAACACAACCGCACGTTCGAACACATCCATTGCTGGCAATGCTCCCATCTTGGGCAGTAGAAGCAACTACTATATATTTGAGATCCAGAGCGATTATGAAACTGGGGAGAAATCAAGCTCCTGCAATACCGACAAAATGTAAAGCTTCATTTTGTGAATTTCATCGTAGGAACCATTAACCTAATTTCAAAGGAGCATATAGCATAATGCAAACGGCAGACCTGGCCAGATTGCTTTTTTAGGAGCTACAGTTGAGTTCAAGGAGGATTGGTCGATCCACTTTATATTATTCATTGTTTGTTTTTATGTTTTAAAAACAATTTAAAAAACAAGTAATTTTTTTATTTTTAATTAAAATTAATATTATTTTTTGTATTTATATATCTGATATAAAAATAATTTATTAAAACATAAAATTATTATTTTAATATATTATTAAATAAAAAATACTTTAAAAAATAACTACCATTATACTCTCAAACGAACACAAGTGCATATTCATTGTAGCTGTGCATTTTGCCTCACGCATCTTTTTGGGTGATGTTGGTTACCATTATACTCTCAAACGAACACAAGTGCATATTCATTGTAGCTGTGCATTTTGCCTCACGCTCAGCTGATCTTGCCTGGCTTTTTTTCACCCATCTTTTTGGGTGATGTTGGTGGGCTTGGGCTGGTAGCGTGGTTGTTTTTACTCTTGGGCTTTTGTTTCTCTTCGGTTGGCTGGGCTTGGGGCTGCTACCTGTTTGCTCAGAGATCATTTTGCATCTGCCATCCACTCGGGCTCTCTTCACCTGGTTCCCGCGCTGCCCCTCCCTCTCAATTGAAGCCACCATGAGTTGAGAATCTCTCCAATTTACAGTGTTAGCGCGGCTTGCCAAATTTTTTTCTGTCATCTCTATCTGAGATTTTGGCTTGCTGTTTCTGGGGGGTGGGAACTGATTGGACGAGTTCTGTTTCTGATTTGAAGGGTTGGTGCGCTGGAATGGCTGCCCATGAAAGACGCTCCCAACTCGGCAAATTGTGAGGGATTTTTGCAGGATTTTCAGGGAGCTTTTTGTTGGGATGGGTGTTGGACGAACGTGCTTGCCTCTTCAACTGGATTTGCTTTCAACGGCCCATTCAATCTTCTTTTATTGGGGAGGGTTTAGGTACGAAATTTTCAGCTTGCTTACATTTCAGATTTTTTTTTACTGTATAATACAGCCTTGCCATGCTTTTTCAATTCAATATTGGGTGACCTGCCACGTTAGCTGTGATAGTGATGCCTCCTGCCCTTGATATCGTCTTTCCCACCAGGGTCAGATAGGTTTTTTTTTTTTTTTCTTGGACTGTGCCTGTTTGATTATGGCTGTGAGGCCTATAAAGGAGTCCACGTGCTAATTTTTCTCTTTTGTTTACATGGTTTTGCATTTCTGCTTTCTCTCTTCTACTTAGTGGTGTAGCTCAATTGGAATTCAATTTACTGTCGTTGGTTTTTTGTTGTCTTTCAGGTTTCCGTTGTTTTTTCTTACTCCATGGTCGTTTGACAGTTGTTTTGCCATGTTCGGTACTGTCCCGATTTTATTTTTTTTTGAGTTGCATTTAGCTCAGTGGTGTTGTTTTCTGCTTTCTTTCTTAGATTTCCAGCTCTTTTGATGACCTTTTGCTGGCTCAGCCACCTGGTGTTGTGTTGGCCCAGGCTGGTTTCTTTACTTTTTTCATCTAACAGCTCTTTGCTTGAGGGAAGGAGGCTGTCATTTAATGTTTGTTAGAATTAGTTTAAGGACCATAGAGTAAAGTAGGGAAATGGAGGAGCTGGATGAAAAGATGAAAACCAAGCACACAAGATAAGGTAACAATAAACAGTTATGTTCTGATGCTTAATTTGAGTAAAATTATTTAAATTTAGTAAACATGATAATTATATTCTTCCTCGAGGATCCCAGTCTACCAGAGTTGAGTTTCTTCTAGGAATAAGGTGTTTTCAAGTCTTTATTCCCAGGATAGGCTTATTTATGTTATGTGTGTGGACACAAATGGACGGTGGCAGCCATGGGCG